AACATGACCCCAAAGAAATTATGACTGTCTCTTTTTGACGTTTGTGATAAGTTTTCTCCGAGCACTCGCTTTCTATAAAACATCTGGGTTGCTCTTCTTAGCTACCAATGAATTCTAAAATTTCTTCTGTAAAACCACATCTCTGAGGTCTAAAGGTATTATCCGGCTTGTTTATTAATTGTCTAGGCTTCACAGCTGTATTTTGAAACTGGCTCCTTATAGCAGGCAAGCATTCTTTTCCTGACCTTCAATGACATGGATTTATTTAATACAGCGTTTTTCATTTTATAAGATGCAGTTTTGGCCTGCCCTGATCGATCTTTATCTCACTGAGACATCCTCCATTGGATGTTATCCATGTGCCTAGGAGATAGAACAACATATTCAGTGTAATAATTTACACACACACACACACACACACACACACACACACACACATATATATATATATATATATATATATATATATATATATATATATATATATATATATATATATAAACATAATAACTGCTCATATCAATTTTTTTTAAATTTTCCGTTTTTGACAAATGTTTGCTTTCAAATCAAATGTTATTTACCACCGGGATTCTCATTTTGAATGTTATTTTGCATAGCCTTTTCCACCCATAGTGGAATATGCTCAGCGACTCGTTTCTCAAGGTCTCAATCAGATCTGCCAACATATTCAGCTTCACAGCTGCATTTACATTTATAGATAGTTTGGTCTAACGTACTTCGACACTGGTTTGTTCTTCTATCTATCTACTTCTTTCTATGAGTGCCGATCAATACACTTTCTGTTAGTTGATTATTTAATAATATTTAACAGCCACAAAGGTGCCCCCTCTGTTTATTTATTCGACACTTTTTGTTTCACCGACGGCGTTGACACGGGTGTCGTTTTAAGCCATCCCTCTGCCATAGATTTGAAGACCATCCCTCCACAAAAGCCTGTTATCTTTTAAAATCAGGACACACTGTAAGCAGAGACAACCCTTTTCAAATCACTAACACGCCAGCCAATGGCATAACGCTACAATTTCTTTGAGCCGCCTCGATTAGTTAGCTCCGTCCTAAACTTTGTAAACAAAAAGACATGATTCTGACACGGAAAGTTTCCTGGTAAAACTAGCAGTTGCTTTTCATTGTTGTTGAAAATTTACTTCAGTTACAAAGGATTCACCTACTTGCTTCACTTATGCAATTGTTACCGAAGTATGCACCTGACGCGAGAGCGATATATGCCAGGCAATAAGCTGTGCATTCTTTTGTCCGTATCTTTTTTGTTCAAATCTACAAAACATTATGTTGACTTCCATGATTGTTTAATTGTTTTCTCATTGTGGTTTCGATTATACCCACATCATAATTAGGCCGACATTTTTTGGGGGACATCCGCCAGGAAATTCACGCGTGCCGAAGAGATTGAAGAAGACATGCCTTTGGAGTTTTCTAACACTGCATGCATTTGCTATTCAACACTGAGCGCTAATTATTTTCTTTGGTTTTATCTACTCTAATCTCCCCAGCTGAACTATGTCACGGTCCATTGATAATTTTGTTTTAGACTCGTCTGCTGTCCTGGGGTCTGGCTTGTTTTGCATTTACGTTTTTCTTCCAAAAAAGAGAATGCCTGTGACATAGGTTGTAGCACTCTCTAGGGAAGTTGTGGGTTAGACCCAGTTTGTAAATGTTTTTGTAGTGTTAACAGCGGTGGCGTGCTTAAATATACAACACGCAATATGAACGCCTTGCCGAACACCCCCCCCCCCCCAACCACCCCCCCCCCCCACTCCCTTGCAAGCAGTGTGCGAAGGTCGGGTGACTGCAGGCCAAAAAATCAGAGGCGAACTAGTGTGTACTGTGAGAAGGTTACTATAGATCATACTATTATCTTTAGTAAAACAAAACACACAAAAAAAAAAAAAAAAAACAGTAAATTAAGGAACGCATGCATGCAAACTAACATGACTGTTTATTGTGAAGATTAACATTAACGTTTACATGACTTGAGGTAGTCGGTATTGGTTTGTAAATCCTTGCAATAACTGAAAGAAAAATTCTGGACTTTTGAACAAATTATTTAGTCGACAAAATAATTCTATGAACAAATCGGACAAGTCAGCTCACAACTACTCACAAACACTCACAGGTATATCGCTCAGAGTGTAGCGATTGATAATTCTTACATTTTGTTGTTGTTGCTGTTGTTATTGTTGATTTGTTACGGGTCTTTCGAACACATATGTTGCAGGAAGATTCTCAGAACACCCCTAGACCAAGAACATGAACAGTTATGGTAGTCTCTTCTTCTTCATAATTAATGTTCAGTAGGGTAGGTGAACACCCAATCTTTAAATGCTTTTGTAAGATCAATAAAAGCAACAAACAGTGGTTGCTTTTGTTCGCGGTCTTTCCTGCAACTGTCGTAATTAAAATATTATATCAGTATAATATTATATATGAAATATTGGTACATACTTAAAAAAAGAAAAGAAAGTCAAATCATAGTGGGGGGGGGGGGGGGGTATGGTCACTCAACCTCCATTTTAATGATACAAGGAAGGGGGGTGGTCAAAAAATATATTTTGGTCAATGCGCAAACACTCAAACACCACCTGCTGCATCTCTTCATCATGCTGAAAATACGGTCATCCCATTGACTCTAGGCTGAACAAAGAGGTTGTAATCACTTGCCGTTAGATCTGATGCTAACGACGGACATGGTATACACTGAAAGCAGTGGTCCTCGATTGTTTCAACCGTTATATGTGACAGTGTAACCCTCGAGCATGGCCATAGAGCAAAAGGATACATTTACTCATGAGCAAACATCAATTGGATTTGAAATTGGTTGAAGATGATTTTAGTCACTGGTGACGGCTTTCTTTTTTTTTTTTTGGCATGTAATGCTCTAAAATAACGGTTCCCGCATCTTAGAAGAGAGTCACGATCAGCTTCCTGTACATGCCTGCGTGTGAAACTTCTGTGGTTTCGATAACAAGACCCTGGCTTTTTTTTTTCTATTACACCTTTAATGTATTAAATTGAAGCCACCTGGTAGTTTTGACTCAATTTCTAAGTGACGTCTCGCACAAATGAGTGCATACGTCTTCAATTTGACCTGTGTACACTTGCTGTTAATGATAGCATAACAGAGCAGGATACTTTCTTACCACTGGCAATCAAAAAGATCGCAGAAGGCGATGTGCTCATTCAAGCGGATGTGAAAGTCAAGGAAGGACTACAACATTATATATTCATGCACATTCCTAACGGAAGTTGCAGTTTCCGAAAAACAAATGGGAAATTGACCTCAGTTAGGACAGCTTCTTCTTTTTTTTTTTCGCGTTCCCTGGCTGTAAACATTGCCTCCACCAAACATGGCAGAAAGTTCAGATATTGCCTCCACCAAACATGGCAGAAAGTTCACATATTGCCTCCACCAAACATGGCAGAAAGTTCACATATTGCCTCCACCTCTGGATTTTAGTCTTGTTCGAGAACCTGGGTTTGCACGAACATACGTTTTACAGATCTGGCTTATTTGTATGCAGACTGTTAGTTCCTTAGCTCTCAGGCAGTTGCGCTGTGACTTCCAAGAAAGTCTTTAATTAGTCCATTCTTGGTAATATGCTTGGTGGGGAGATAGTGGGTTTATTCTTGTTAACCCCTCAGTGATAAGACATTGAAAATACATTTCTATGAAAGCACATAGTGCCTAAGAATTGGCTTTAGATAGCGAGGCTTTAGCGCGTGTTATGACAGCGACTTTGTGTGACAAACCTGCTGCTTGATAATGATATCCATGTAGCCAGCATTTCTAGTATATAATATAAACGACACACTTTAGTGTGCTCTTGCAGTGCGTCCATCACTGTCTTTGTAAATAGAATGTGGTGAGGCCGCAATCTCTTCTACAATAGCATTTCCGTACCACAGTGTGAAACCCTCGAGCACTGACTTAACACATACATACTAAACTGTTAAAATGCATTTTTGAACCGCTTATTGAAGAGGGTTTTTAAAGTATTCCGGTATTTGGAACTCATTTTAATATATAATAAAATATTAATACTAGAGCTGATGTCCTCAAACAAAATGGCAAAAGACCAAAATACGTCAAATATCACAACATATCGTCTGCCAAAGTTAAACTCTGGTTCGATGAAAGTTACCACACATAGTATAACAGAGGGCATGTAACATACAACTAAAATGACAGCAATCAGGACTACCATAGTGGATGTAGTCCTTTCCCTGTTAGACATAGCATTATCTGTATTATGTTGAATACTTACTGATCTACGCCAGACAGATTTCGCTCTTAGCATACAAATTAGGACTGAAGTAAAACAAATAACGGTGCTCACTGATGCTACTCCGAAAATCGCGTTGATGAAGTAAAGTACTTTATCCATTTCTTCCTTACCAGCTTTGGTAACCGAAGTGAGAATAGTTCGGTTTAGTTCTGGAATGAACTTCCACACCAGGGACGATGTACTGTAGAGAGGAATCCATGATGAAAATGTCACAACGTAGATAAAAATAAGTATAAACGCTGTTCGCTTTATGGTAATTATCTGCTTCATCTTCAGGGGAAAAACAACGCATATACATCTCTCTGCCGTGATATAGACAGTAATTGATGTAGTCAGCCTGGTCAATGTCTCATGAGGCAATCCACCAGTTAGATGGAAAAAATCTGAGTAATCAACGGCTACTCCAAGGCAACTCATAAAATACACAGTGACCATCCATTCTTGAACTAACAGACACATGAGGTCAGCAACAGCCAAAGCGAACAGACTAAGATTAATAGTTGACTTCAAACCTTGCCGATAGTACACAATTAAATTAATAATGTTAGCTATAATACCAAAGAAACTCACAAACGCACAAAGGAAAATGGCATTAATTAACGGTATTATTTGTTGATAATACTCTGCTGCATACAGCTCTGGAGTTGCATTCTTTTGGCTACCTATCACTTCCATTGCTGAATTTCCTGTTGAGGTAACTCACAATAGAAGACTATTAATATTTCATAGACTCTCTTCCATAAACCTACTACACATTTACGTGCTTTTCACAATAATGTAGTGGAGGGTTTCGGTTTACAAACCCACTGGTAAACGATATGACAATAAATGAGGTAGAGACAAAGAGCTGTTTTCTCGTCCAGCTACTGATTTGATTGCCTGGTGCGACAACTGACTTGATTGCCTGGTGCGACAACTGAGTTGATTGCCTGGTGCGACAACTGAGTTGATTGCCTGGCGCGACAACTGAGTTGATTGCCTGGTGCGACAACTAAGTTGATTGCCTTGGGCGAAAACTGAGTTGATTGCCTGGTGCGACAACTGAGTTGATTGCCTGGGGCGACAACTGAGTTGATTGCCTGGGGCGACAACTGAGTTGATTGCCTGGTGCGACAACTGAGTTGATTGCCTGGTGCGACAACTGAATTGATTGCCTGGTGCGACAACTGAGTTGATTGCCTGGTGCGACAACTGAGTTGATTGCCTGGTGCGACAACTGAGTTGATTGCCTGGTGTGACAATTGAGTTAATAAATTGATGGAAATAAATTAAAGCATATTCATTATCTTGCCGTCGATTTATCCACTCCGTTCGATTGCTTGCAACTCTCTCGATTTATGACACGTAGTTCAACCCAGCATGTTTAACCTTGCAATAAATGTGAAAATTAAATTTAAAAATAAAGGTAGAAAGAAAATTAACATAATTAACAAGTATATATAGATAAGCTATATTTATCAATCGTTAAGTCAGCTAGCTCACACAAAGAAGCAATATCTTCAGTTGAAGACGGCAAATTCCAGTCACGGTGTCGTTACAATCTTAAAAGCCAGTGAAATCGTAGCACAATATAATCCTCCACCTTTACCATGGCCCAATTTCCGAGGTAGACAGTTTGGGAAAAGACCGTTCAAGTTGTAGTTGCTTTCTGATTGTGAAGCTAGAGTCGCTTCGTGGGAAGCAAATGAAATAACATTGTCTCGCTACGTTAAAGTCTCAAAGTTAGCCAATTTGAGTTTAGTGAACTGTATACACTTTTCTGCTTCTCAACATACAGCTACCATTATATCACCTGGACGGGAAAAAAGACTGAAAAACGTCATTGTCACCTCTAACGATGATATAAGACAAGCAAATTGTATCTGTTTAAGCGGCGTCCGTGGCTTAGGCGTTGCGAGTCCGACTCGTAATTCCAACGTACCGCGACGATGGCAGGTCGACCCAGCTTTAAGTGGGTACCAGGATGTATGTGCTGGGAAAGCAAAGACAGCCGGCGTAATGCTGACCGCACCTAATGCCGATTAGTCTGTAAAACTATTGGTGCTTTTCCCAAATGCTCGATGCGCTTAAGACGTAAAAAGGGATATTTTATTTTTACAAATGGTATCTGTTTACGCAGTCATAATGGACACGGGAAGACAAACAAATATTGATCTAGCACCATGGGCCCAACGGTGTCCATGGTGTGAACTTATTCACTTACAGTTATCTTGGGAAGCGATGTGTTAACATTAGTTCTACTGTCCAGCCATCTAAAAATGTTTACTTCCTTGTTACCAGATTTTACTTGACTTACGTATACACTCCAGGATAGAGAGTGTCAGGCAAGCAAACCAAACGTGTAAAATGTTGCCCAGAACAGTAGAACTCGTGCTACAGTACTGCCCTATATATGCCACACTAAAGCAAACCTTTTGGCCAACAGGCACAACAGTGTCAAGTATACATTTTGGACCAATGATTGAAGAATTAGAAGAAGCCAAACGAACCAGTTTTTTTTTTTTTTGTGTGCTCACAAATACTTTAAATTTAACTTATGAGAAAACAGACACGTAAAAAACTATTCTTTCTTTAGTAAACAAAAACATATAAAAACACTCTAAGAGCAATTACTGACATACACTTGACAACGGCATAAGAAGATGAGGTAATAAGAATTTGACACATATGCGTTTGGCGTGCATTATTTTGCCTACAGCAAGTCTCCCAATACGAAGTACTATTTTTCTGTAAAAAAAAAAATATTTGTATCTCATGAAAGCTTGCAGCATTCAGTTACAGCAATCGTTTTATTACACACATCAGAAAACAAATTCTTGATAAGTTTGCCGCAATTTAAAATAATTTGTGATACTTACTACAGACAGCATGACATTGACATAACCGTATTCGCTTTCTCTTACTGTTCAAGCGGCACGACTCAGTTATTTTTCTTTTTCTTTTCGTTTTGTCTTTTCTTTTTACTTTTTTTAATTCTTGAACTGTTGTTGTTAACGCGTTTATTAAAATCACACGTAGTTACTACTTTCAACTGAAATATGGGTAATTTGCAATCATGCAATTTCTAATTTCAAATTCAGGAGCATTTTGCACGCCAAAAATTTTTTTTTAACAACTCCTCTATTGACATAGTCATACTTTAAAAGGAGGGCTTTACAAAGTAATAGATGTGTATATGTACATATCTACACAGCTATGTGTACGTATGCACGCGTTTACGTTTTTATGCATTTACGTATGTGTGTATGTATGTATCTATTATGTATATTATGCCTATATGTGTGTGCAAACGTATATATGCATATAGGTATGTTTGTAATATTCTTGCATGCAAGTATGTATATATATATATATATATATATATATATATATATATATATATATATATTATTTACATGCATCCATGTATTTATGTGTGTGCATGTTTTTGTATGTATGTTTTATGTATGTATGTATGTAATCAAGTTATTGTGTATGTAGGTGCCTATTTTTAGCAAGTTAGTTTAAACAGCTGCAGAAAACATATTAATTACAAACGTACCGATAAAAAACAAAAGTGTTTTTTTCTGTTACGTTATGGCATGCTTTATATTTAAAGGTCGCCTGCAGTGATTGATAAGTAAGGACTAATAATATAACAGCAATCCAGACATATCTATGATTGCTAACTCATCCGTATTGCTACCACAGGTGTAAAATGCTTAATTACGCCCGTTCTGTGTTGATAAATCAAAAGTGTTTTACCGTCTGTAAAATGTCTATGTCTGGGGGGAAAACGATCAACATTCACGCTTTTAGGGGCATCGGGCAAATAGGAAGAGTCCCAATATTTTTACAGACCAGTTTGCACTAGGTGGGTTATGTGGTCAGCATTACGCCGCCCGTCTTTACTCTCCCCAAGACTGTAAAGGGGATATTTTCACCCACATTAGAAAGGTTGGGGGAAAGGCCCAAAGCTAACCCAAAACACCGAGATATTCCAAATACTCGGATTATACGAGGTTTTTAAGATAGGTGATGACCACGAGTTATCACGTGCAACACTATGAAGCGATCGAAGGTCGCCACGTGGAAGTAAGGGGCACCACGTGTTGCCACGTGAAACTAACCCGTGGTATAAGCTCAGACTTGATTCTGAGCAAGTTAGTTTGGGTCGACTTGTTGGAGCGAAAGGACGGGAGACTGAGCGTATGAATGTTAACGTGAGATTGCTGTGGTGAAAGGAGAATCAGACGACGACGTGTGGAAGTCAAGATCAGCCAGGCCTGTCTGTGTAATGTCCAGAAGATCAACGAGATGCATCAGGGCAGACTCTAGTCAGTGATTGCATGAGGAACCTGCTTGTTGAAGTCAGCGTGATGTGGTGTGCAAGAGCTGTTTATTAGGACAACGGCTGGACACTGCTGTAAGTTGTAACATGTCAATAAACTGATGTTTCGTACGGCTAAGTCGGTGTCGGCTTGCACCAGTTACGTTAACGTAGTGTGTGATAAGAACATTCACGACACACACATAAACACCCACTAGACAACGAGATCATTGCAAAGACATACATCCTGGTACCCATTTTAGGCTCGGTCAACCTGCAACGCCCCATACAATTATAAAATTCCACGCAGCCAGCAATGGGTTTTGATCGCCGTACATTGGAATTATGAGTCAGACTCGTAATGCTAAAGCTACAGACGCAGCCCTACTGTTTTTTCTGTATGGAAGCTTCATATTCATTCATGAAGTCTATCAGTCAAGACAAGGATAATCAGTCACACATATGACACTAATTATGCAGCTACTGTTCAGTATGTGGCCAGTGATAGCCACCTACCTTCGATCTTTGTTTATTCTTGAACCGTATCTTCTTCTTCTTCTTCTTCTTTGCAATGAGTTGTGCTTGTAATACCTCGTTGTCTAGGTGGTGTTTATGTGTGTGTGTTGTGAATGTTCTTATCACACACTCTACGTTACATAACTGGTACAAGCCGACACCGACTTAGCATAAGAGACATTAGTTTATTGGCATGTTATCACTTACATATGAGTTCTGTCGTTGTCATAGTGAACAGCTCTGGCACACCACTTCACGCAGCCTTCAGCTCGCAGGTTCCTCACGCATTCACTGGCCAGACTCGGCTCCAATATATCATGTTGATCTTTTAGCCATTACACAGACTGTGATACACGTGATAACTAGTGGTCATCACCTATCTCAAGATCCTCGTTTAATCCGAGTATCTGGAATATCTCGGTGTTTTAGGTTATCCATGGGCCTACCCATTAACCTTCCTAATGTGGGTGAAAATATCCCCCATTATATTTTTCCTCTTCTTCTTCTTCTTCTTCTTCTTCTTCTTCTTCTTCTTCTTCTTCTTCTTCTTCTTCTTCTTCTTCTTATTATTATTATTATTATTATTATTATTATTATTATTATTATTATTCACTTTTTGGTTATTCGTCCACATCTTCTCGACTTCAGTCTTGCTCCAGAACCTAAGTGTTGATGCATATTCATTAAACCGTAAAGACCAAGTAACGGCCCCTTTTCGACGCCGTTAGACGTGTAGGGCATATAGGGCTAGACTTTTTTTATAGACCAATCGGCACATGATGGGTCATGCTGTTAGCATCACACCGGCCGCCTTTACTTCCCGGGACTGCACTCGGTACCCAATCAAGGC